TCGATTTGCTTACCCAGTTGTCCAGGAATGATATTAATATTATTAATAAGTATTTCGTGCGCACGTTAAACTTATTGCGTGGCCACGAAATACTACTTCCTGGCCACAATTAAAAAAATTTTTTGACCATGTCATCAGAGGGGCTCCGTAGAAGAGAAACGTCTTCACACAGTTTTTTTGGAATGACTATGACCTGGAATGCTGAGAATATTCACCATCACTGCGTCTGTAATCATAAACGTCAGTTTGAAGCATAAAGAACACAGAAGAAAAGTTTTATTTAAATCAGTGCCCATAAAACGTTAACGCATGCTATTTAAGTACCAACAAAACATTTATCTAGCTTTGTTTTTTTGTTGGTTTTTCACCTCTTTTTCTTTCTTTCTTTTAATTTTTTTCCTTACAGCAGCAGGAGCGACAAGCCTCTCCTCTCATTGCAGTCTTCTGATGTGGAATCCATCGGTGCCGTCAGCACCTCAGAAACTACCTCAACAAGTCTTTCCAGACCGTCCAGGTTGGCATTTAATGAAGCTTAGCTGACTGGAGCGCAAATAGCAAGAGAAGTCTGAAGTTAACCTGCTGATAGCGAGATAAAAATCCTCATACCACATAGTTGGTCCCTAGACAAGGAGTTTACTCTAAACTAAATAAGGAGTTTAATTCATGGACATAGAGTTTATTACCATCATGTAAAGACGAACAGCCACCGACTGAGATGCTAAAGTTAGTCAATCACAAATCAGGCATTTTTCCGCACTGCTGGTAGAAGGAATGAAAGAGCTCATTTTATTTTACCATCCAAGATCCAGACATCATTCATTCAGTTACTGACATCTAGTGGTCGGATTTGAGATTACGCAGAGCTCTTTACCAGCAGTGTTACTTACTTACTTGCCTGTTTTAACATACAGCTGCAGACTTTTATGTGGTTGACTAGACCAAATTAGCAGTAACACGGTGGTGGCAGAGTCATGCTGAGAAGATACTCCTCTTCATTGTAGAAACACATTTTCTTTGGTCCAACATAACCTTAGAGGTATTAATGCTGATACTGGCACTTAGGTTTTTTTAGTTTATAAACCTAAATATAATTGCTTACTAGGCTAATTAACTTTTTAACTTTTCAATTAGATTTTTACCTTTTTTCCAACTCCATTTGTCAGGGTAATGCAAGGGATCAAAAACGCTAACTTTCCCTTTAAAGGGTTAAAGGTGGATCGTCTTGTTAAATTGGAAAAAGTTCTTTTCCGCTCAAATCAGCGACTTGCTTATGTTTCATTCTTTGCAGACATCTGCTCAGCCATGTTTTTCTTCTTTTGGTGATTTATCTGTAATGAAAGCACTTTTCTTTCTTCTTTTGTTATTTTCCAACAAACCTCCATCAGTCTCTACAGTTCCAACAAGATGCAAACTGCTACCTGCAACATGCCTTTCTCCCCTCCACCTTTGAAACGGAAACGCGGCCGACCGCGGCGAAGCCCAAAGCCCCCCAAACCTGAACTCCCCCCTCCCCCCAGGCTTCCAGACACCGACGGCTCAGCCACGGAGCTGCTGAGCGCCCTCCCAGGACTCCACCCCACGGACATAGTCCACGGCATGGACCCCAACACCCAGCTCTCGCACCTCAAGAGCTCCATCAGCAGCTACTTCGGGGTAGCGGGGCGTCTGGCGTGCGGGGAGAGGTATAAAGTCCTGGCCCGACGGGTCACCGCCGACGGCAAGGTGCAGTACCTGGTGGAGTGGGAAGGAGTCACTGCCTCATAGGCGGGTGGACGGAATCAACGGCATCTCAGAAAAATGCCACGGATCGGACTGGACCGGTAATGGTTTCTATGGAGTCCATTTTATTCCGTTCTTTTGAAAATACGGAGCAGAATGTTAAAGTTTAAAAAAAAAATCAGAATGCATGCCGGAAACAAAACTTCGAAAAATGTTTTATTCAAGAAAAGTTTGGAGAGTTACTTTTCTGTTTTTTTTTTATTAATTTTTTTTTTTTTTTTTCCTGAAATTATCTTGGGATTTTTTTTTTCATTTCTGTTTTTCAGATTAAGCTT